GCAGCAGCTTCTTCTGGCATTAATTCAGCAACAACATACAGAAGCAGTTTATTTCACAAATTAAGTGAAGTTTTGAGTTTCAACTTTAATTGAAGAAGCTATCAAAACAAATTGTTTATATAGTACGTAGCTAAATAACAAATATTCCAAGAAGAAAACAACTGACATTTTTTTTTTTTTTTGAATAAAGGGAATTTTAGAGGAAGAGTGAAAATATTACAACTGTTTTTATTAAAACTTGAATCTTAATATAAGTCAAGATTTTTATTGTATATTGTCAACTCAACTGGAACTATTGGTGCAAAAACAACTGACATATTTAAGGTAAAAAGATATGTGTATATATATATAGTGTAGCATATATATAGAAAAAGCTATAGTACAATAGTATTTTTTTTCTTCTGTGGTGGATATATATATATATATATATAAATATATATATGATTGAATGTGAAGTAACATTGAGAGAGGTATTTGGCAGAGAGAGACTACAGAGATCAATGCATGTGTGGCATGAGATGACAGTCAAAATCCTCTCACTGCATTTGGCAGAGACTACACTGTTCTGTTATGTGGCTTTAATTAATTTTGGAATTTCAGTTGGACGCTCAGCCAGTCAAGCTTAGTGTTGCTGTGTGTATATTTGGTTGTCTCAAGTCAGAGGTAGTACTGTACAAGTGTTTATTAATTTCAAAAAAATCCTCTCACTGCATTATCCTAATCAAATCCAAATCAGAACCCACATAACAGAAGTTCTATATATATATGAAGCATCTTTCCTAAAATAAACATTCATTACTACAAAGTATATCTTTACTGAGTACAAATTAACTAAAGCCTGGACCTGGAGTTATTATTTTTTAGTTTTTTCAATTATATAAACAATAGCCTTAAAAGTAGGACTTAAACAGTGATCAACATGAACTAATTAAAAAGATATGGAAGATGAGATTCCCTTCCCCCATCCACATCTTATATGTTTTTGAGTAAACTAAGATTGGATTGAGCGCATATCATCAACTTTGAATGTGTGTTGATTACAGAGAAAAGAAACTTGCTTTGGGTTAATTAATGTCATACTTTATAATTCGGGTATATATAATATATATTGCTAAAACCTTAACTAGAAATAGTTTTTTTTTTTTTTTTATTAATTGACATACTCATGCCAACGCACTGCAGTCCATACACAACCATTTACCAAAACTAGACCTTATTATTTCAATAAATAAGTAATCTAATGATAATTATTCTCATCAATTTATATAACACGATCCGTGATTAAAGTGAATTTAGAAATAAAAGAGATGTAATTTTTATAATATAATTTCAAAATAAACAAAATGAAAACAGACATCATTACAGGAGATGGAATTAAAGTGATGAACACAAAAGAAATTTATATTATTAATTCTTTAAAAATATGCAAGTCATGAACCCATTTGCCTCCACACTGCCAAAGAAAAGCACGTACTATATATATACCTCCCCATCAAAAAATACGCAGCACGTTGAAAAGCAAGGCCTTTATTATTTGAAGGAGAAGAAAAAGCGAGGTTTCAGTCTATATCTCCACTTTAATCTGTAACTAATAGAATGCCTCAACTGATATATATATATATATATATATATATATATATAAATTCTGTACTATATATCCTAGCAGATCGATCGTCGATCATGACGAGAATATAGGACTTTGCCGGCTCATTTACGTGAAAGCAGTTTCAACTAATCTAATTAGCTAACTGGACCAAACTAATAAAATGAAAGCAAAAGATTTAAACAAAAGTAATATACTTACTTTATTTGGTTGATCAAACCTCCCCCCACAAAAAATAAAATAAAAAAAGCAACTTGTTCATGAAGAAAAAAAAGAAGCACATGGGATGGCAGGTCATTAATATATCAAAGATCAAGTTAAAAGAAGATCAAGAAATCTTAAGCGCATTTTTTTCTTGATTAACAAGAAGGCTTTGTTAATTAAGCTTTAGTCACTTATAGATAAGTACATATCTAATCTTTAATTCCATCATCAGTATTGACCCAGATTGTTGATCTTACTAAAGTACTCCTATATTATATTCTGATGGATAGATATCTATCAAAAGCGAAAATGGAAATTATCAAGAACCATGCCATGTTCATATATATAATTAATATCCAAATTATCATCATACTAGTAATATATATCATATGCGGTTGCAATTAATTATATATATAAAGCTTGGCTAATGAAATGTGTGACTGATCTTGTGTATTAATTATCACCCATTGACGATGATTGATCTTTGAAGACCTTAACCGCAAATAATTAAAATTAATTTTGTACTTTCTTTTAATTTAACCAAGAATACTTTCCAAAATAGAATTGCAACTTAATTTGTTTCAAATTCAAACCACTGACACGTTGTGGCAAAGGATATTGGATTCAAAGGCAGTTGGTGGATCAAAGGCAGAGATTGTGGGTGGTATCATAGGCTACAAGTAAATAGGAGATTAATATTTGTTTGGTTTAGGGAAGGACTAACAATTGGTGGGTGGAGATTGTCATCTATTAAATATCTACTCTCCTTAAAAAGTGACAATTTAGTGAAATTTTTCAAAAACTTTGATCGCTCAACAAGATAATTCTCTTACCTAAGTAGCTTTGTTTTTGTCCCTATATCAATTACTTTTAATCCATGATTATAGATGGTTCTTTATATTTTATTGTTTAAATTCATTTAAATTTGTAATTAGTACCTGAAGTTATTATGCTTTTGTATTCAGCTATAGTGTCATAATATATAGAAGAATGATGTAATCTCCTTTTACTTTTCAATACAAATCTCTATTTTCCATTAAAAAAATATTCAAACCAGTGACACACACGCTCCTACCTTACATTGCACTGCTAAATTGCACCTAGCTAGCTAGGTTTTTGCTAAAATGCGCCAAGGGTTTTCATTCTCGTAGTAGTTCACACATACTTAAAAATTTTAAAAGAATTCATTCATCAATTAATCACAGAAACCAACAAACTGCATAAAACAAATCGAAAATTACGATAACTATCCTAGCTAGAGAGAAAAAGTAGTGATATATATCTACCGGAGGTGCAGGTTTCCGCAGCGCCGCCGTGGCAGAGATGGCTCAGCTGCGTTCTCATACTGTCCAGAAACACCATAGCTTCATCGAAAGGCCTGGAGAGATCCGATTTGAACTTCCGCAGTATATCACAGTAAGTTTCCTTCAGAAATAAATAAATAAAATCAAAGCATAATTAATCAAGGCAAGGGAAAGGAAAAGGGAATTAAGCCATAGAAAGATGGGAAGTTTGTATCAGACCATAAAGTGGTCGAGCTCAGGATCGACGTCGAAGCTAGGAGAAGCGGCGGTGGCGGTTCTTTTGCGAACGTCATGAGTGTCACTTTCTCCTCCGATTTCATCCAACCTCTTAGCAACCTCCGGCGGCGCCCCCACCTGAAATATATATATATATCAAAAGTTCAAATAAAAATATGAAATATATTTTGTGACGCCAGGTTTTCAACATGTTGAATATATATATTTATATATCAAATCAAACACTTTAACCGAACAAAATTTTCTTCACATAGTTTTTTATTTTTATTTTTTAAAGCAAAACAGATCAGTAATAAACTCTGATCATTCCGTTTTCTCGATCTTTATTTTTGTTTTCCTTGGTAATTGGTAATTAAACAAAGGGTTAATTAATTAATTACATATATATATATATATATTTATATATGTCTGTATATATGTACCTTTTGGCAATCGATATAGGCTTGAAGGAGTTTAGGATAAAGAGAATGAGAAGCGATCTTAGCCCTAACTGCACCAGACGCCTCCACCCAATCGGCATCCGGTACGCCCGAAGCGCAAGACCCAAAAGCAATCTCCTCAAGACCCGCTGCTGGAGTTGGAAAAGTAGTGCCGTAGTCGGATGAAGTCACCATATCCATATTTTCGGCCGGTTCAGAGTAGGAGTGGCCACCGTAGAGGTAGACCTCTTCCATGGATGGTTGTAGTAATTAATTAATACGAATAAATATCCAAAGAAGAAGAAGGATATATCTTCTTGTAGTGGTGAAGGAAAGAGGAGAATTTAAGTTGATGAAGGATTAAAATTTACAATTACAAAAGCCGCGATGGCCCGGGAGCTTATCATCATGTTTCTTACAACTACAAAAGTTTTGGTGGGTGGATTATGGCGAGTAGTGAAAGAGGAGAGAATAAAATGATTAAAGAAATACAAATTGGAATGCCAATATCCAATAGAGATTTGTTGTAAATTATGGTTATGTTTGGATCAGTTTTTTTTTTTATATAATTGATAGTTAATAGTTGATATTTAATAACTGAATTGTTATTTATAATTTAAAATATTTAATTCATTTAATTAAAATTAACAGCTAGTAGTTATTTTTGAAACACTAAACCAAACACCCCCTAGATTTCATTTTCACCAAAGGTATGGTCTTGAATCATAAATTGGCAAAACTCCTAAATCCACTTCTCAAATAGAGGGCTAAGAATAAATTTGCCCTTAAAAAAATACAAGGATAAATTACCCTCTAAATTATGAATCAAGATAAATTATCCATGTGACGTCAACTTTTTGTTAAAAATGCTTACGTGACCAATGAAAAATTGATGTCACAAGTTAAAAAATGGATGATTTGTCTTGATTTATAATTTGAAGGACATTTTGTCTTTGCAATTTTTTGAAGGGTGGATTTTTCCCTACTACTCTATTTGAGGGGTGAATTTGAGGGTTATGCCATCATAAATTTATGGTAGTAGTGTGAAATAATTACTAAATAAAATTCTTTTAAAATTTATTATCTAAAAGTTTAATCATAAAAAACATATACTACTCCTTTTAGTCTTTTTTAGCTGTCTAACTTCCTCAATTTTATAAAAATTAATATAATAATTTTATATAATAAATAAATGATAATTAAAAATATATTTTAATTTAAGTGAAAATTTTCAACAATAACTACATATAGAAATACCCCAAAAAGGGATGACTCAACTAGTTAAAAATTTGAAATTCTAAGTCAGAGATCTTAAATTTGAATTGGAGAGGAATTTGAGAAAATGGTAAGGTTATTTCTTCTTGTATAGCCTATCATCAAATGTATAAAATATATATATAGAAAAAGATACTATGAATCATCATTTATTTATTATATAAAATTATTTATTTAAACTTTATATAAAAGTCAAAATGAGACAACTAAATCAAACCACAAGAATTAGAAAGAAACTACTCTACAAACATGTATTTTTTCAGGTTTCATTTAGTATAGTTGTTATTTTTGATTTCTAATTTTGATTTTCATAAATTTTCCAACAACACTAAAAACTAAAACTTAAAATCAAAAGCTAATTAACAATTTGTTTAAGACAAGTTTTAACACTAACAAAAAAATTGTAAACTTTTTAATAGTATTCAAATTATTTTTGTTCTTATTTATTTAATAAATCATGAGAATATATTGTAAAACCACATAAAAATAAACAAGGTTTTTTTTTTTAGTTGCAAAATGTATACAAAACAAAATAAAAAATTAGAATTCCCAAAAACATATTAAATGGAGCCTTAATTTTTAATTCTTTAAAAATAAATTTTAAAATGGGCAAAGAAAAATCAAGATGTCTTGATGTTACATTAGGATGTCTAATAATAAGACAATGATACATAAACCCTACACAGTTACACACTTCGTTAGACATTAATGGAAATCATTAGAGTGTAATGGAAACCATCAATTTTAATGACATAAGTAACAGAAACCATTATTTTTTTAACGACATAAATAATAAAAACCGTCAGTTTTAATGGTATAATTAAGTAACAAAAATTGTTAGTTTTAATAACACAAGTAACAGAAACCGTTGTTGTGTAACGAAGTGTGTAACTTTTCAGGGTGTACCCATCATTTTCCCTAATAATAATATATGATAGATGTGATAAAGTTGAACCTAGATTAATCCCACATATTTAATAGTTGTAATTGAACATTTTGACATTTTTGATATCAAGATGCTATGATTTTCCCTTTTCTCATTTTAAACATGGGTTTTTTTAAGAGCACAAGTTAAGGATGCAATTAATATACATTCTTTTACATTAATTAGCATTAAAAAAATAAAAATTAACATTTATTCAATCAATTGATTAATTAAAATAATCCACAAAGCCCAAATTGATACCCACTAACTAAAAAACTTTGATTTAAGGCCAAAATTAGAGGTTTACACCCCTATACTACTAAGTAATTAGCTCTCTAATGTACGAAAAAAAAAAAAAATCCACAAAGCATTGGGGGTGAAATTAAAGTCAATTTTTGTATTCCTTATATAGTTTAATGTCAAAAGAATGCATAAGCACAATTAATTTTAACATGTGCCTTTAAGACACAAGTTTTAAAAATCCTTTAAAACTTACTAAAACACTTTTCAAAAAACTGAAATTAACCCAGTTTTAACCTTACTCCCTCCCTCTCATTTTAGTTGTCACACTTTTTTCTACTATGGTTACTAAAAGAAATTATCAAATTCAATAAAAACACAATTCTTATAGATCAAAACTTCATGTTTACCCTTAATGAAACTCAATTAATTAGGTTGGGAGTAATTATGAAGTTTTATTAAAGGAATCATTATGAAATTACAATAGAGGTCAAGTTAGAAATAGAGTTTTTTTTTTTTTTTTTTTTTTTTTTTTTTTTTTTGGTTGCACAATAGGAGGTAACCATCTCTTATCCCTTATCTCACTCCACTCGCATGCCATACAACCCAAACTTAAGACTTCTTACTTCCAATGGAAGAAGATAACTATTGAGTTATTCAAGAGCTTTTACTTCCACTGAAAATAGATAACCACTGAGTTACTTAGGTCATTGACTAGAAATAGAGCTTTTAATGCAATACTTAAAATAGAAATTGACAATTAAGTTAGGACACTGTTTTGTAAAAAGTGTAAAACTAAAATGGGACAAAGAGAGTATATAAGAGTTAATAACTTAAATGGTTTAGTTGTAATATAAGTATTCTCATTATTTTAAAATATAGGTCATTTGATTTTATTAGGTAATTTTAAGTGATATTTTTATGTATCTTTATATGAATAATATTTTTTAAATACAATTAATAATAAATAACTAATACTTGATGCTGGACAATTATTTTACTAACCACAACCAAAACAAATGTCTCTTAAAAATTTTGCCAACAATTATCTTCGTATATATTGTTCTAAATGATCAACTTTGATTTTGATTAGACAAATGATTGGTACATACACAATTTGACATATTCTTTAACACATGTATAGTTCAATTTTTTAAAATAAAACAAATATAGTTAATTCAAATAATTTTTGCATTTTATGTGTATAGTTATATTTTTAAATTTATTTATTTTTAATTTTAAATTAAAAATATAATAATTTTTTAATAAATATATTATGCAATTTATTAAATTAAAATATTCATCAATCAGCACCCTTACTTAATCTTAAAATTAACAAAATGCAACAAGTTAGACGTCAGCTATACATAAGAAAAACTATAAGATTGACGTCTTTCCGCTCTCATTACGTGTGGGTTATTTACCTATTATACAAATTTATCAAAGTTAAAGGAAGACGGGGGATCCAATTCCCAGTACAAAAGCATGTGTAGGCGGCCCTAGTAAAATGATTTTGATTTTAGACAGAACATGGTGGCACTTGAAAGGTGACATTCTTTTATTTATTTAATTTAACTTTCAAAATGCTGAACATAGTTACGCAATACCCATTCCATCTCTGTTATCTTCTTGTTTGGAATATATGATTCTATCTCTGTATAGTTGGCCAAAAAAATAAAATCTATTTCCATGTACAATAGAATATCGTTCGCGACGAGGACCTAGGACTTTGAGGGTCAAAAGGAACATGAAATGCTAAAAATATGAAGAAGCAATTAGTACTTAGAAAGAAACTAGCGGCAAAATAGAAAAAGTTTTTAGTGCAATTGCCAATTGGAATATAATAGAGGTTTCTGAGAAATTGGGTGGAGGTAATTGTTTTGATGTGATATGCATGAAAGCAGTGGATGTGGATGAATAAACTTGGAAGCGCGTTGGGACCCATGTACTCTTTATAGAATAAAATTTCTTTGCCAATAGGTGAAAAAAAATTAAAGGTTTTTAAGTAGCATATCAATTAATAGTAAAATTAGTGGTACCCACCCCACTATGCTAGAATTTTTTTCTAAATTTGTATCTATTGATTTGTTTATTTGTTTTTTTGAAGAATTAAGTAATTTTTGACAAATTCTTCCCTAATTTTGAAGAAAAGAGGGATTATATATATATATATTGGTAAAAGTGACATGTTTCATTATTCAAAATAAGTTTTATTGATCTATTAATTTGAAATTTAGAAAGATAAATACAATGAAATTAATTAAGAATTTAAATTAAAAATTTAATAAGTTGAAATTTCAATTTTTTTTAAAATAACATAATCTAAAAGTGTTTTTGTTAGAAGTATATAAAATTTAA